TAGCTCTGCGCGAAATTAAAAAAAACAAAAAACACATGAATATAAATGTAAGTACCTACATGGACATTGTCCTGAAAGGGGTCAGGGTAAGTACGGGATACTCTGACCCTCATGTAGTATTTAAATTCATATTGTCCAGAAACAGCTACCATCTACCAGGGGGGGGGGGGGAAAAGCGTTCATGTGCACCTGACCCTCCCAGGTCTATAAGACATAAACACGGATGATGAGAAAAACGAATGTACTACTGCTAAGTATCTGTAAGGTGACACACCTGTTTACCATTGGATGATAAAAACATCTAAGTGATGTAATATGAAAACTTGAAGAAGATTGGTCGAAACTCTTGACTACTACACTCCCTTTTGTTAACATAATGTTTCTACAGTTGAATAATTTTCAGGTTCTGTTGGTTTAGACTTGCCCATGTAAAAGTAGCTCTTAATAATCAAACAAAGTAAACTGTAACACTCTAGCGTTAAGTAATTTTCCATCTCTCGGCACATAATGACTATTTCTAATGTTGAATTAAATGGTTATCTTTAAAGCTATGAATATAATTGATGATTAAAAATAGAAGAAATATTAGAGACGTGAACAACCGTGTTATGAAACCTGTGAATAAACAAATCATATGCTAGAGAGTAATGCCAAAACATGTGTTAAACATGGATAACACCTGTATTTCGACAAATATACAACTATATTGCACTCTGCAAAGACACATAAATCAGTGAATTTTACATAATTTCTCATTGTGTATATGACTGATTCTTTATCACACTGGTCTTCTTAAAGAATTTTAAGAAATTTGAAAACAAAATACGCTATCTCTAATTGTGTTGTTTTTTTTTACTTATGATTATTATAACTAACATCCTGACCAAGTCTATTATAAACAGAAGTCCAAGATGGATAGAAACATCAAATGTGTTGTTATACATCCCAGGAGGAGGAATATACTTGTTTATTCTTTTCAAAATCTGGTTAGTAAACTCATTTTCGGTAACCTGAGTGTCTCCCTTGACTCCTCCTGTAAGAAAAAAAAAAGAACGAAAACAATGACGATATATTAATTTCTTACTTATAATGCTAAAAATCGGGTTTTGATACCCGTGGTGAGCACAGCACAGATAGCCCATTGTGTAGCTTTGTACTTAACTACAAACAAAATTGAAATTCTTAACTAACCAATAACTAGAAAGCCTGAAATTTGGGAGCTAGATTTTATGGGTAGCAAAACAACAATGTTCCAAATCTTACATTAGTCTTGAAACAATTTTTCACCAATAGTTTATTGTACTCAGCCAGATATCCATTATTACGCACTATTAACCATTTCTAACATGCTTCTGTGAATAATGGCAAGACTAGTTCTAAAAACCACGTTTAAACAAATTAAAGGCCCAAAGTCTGTTCGAGCTGCATCAAGGCTGTTGACAAAATCCAACAAGATGTTAGCAATTCCAGTTTCTTTGGCAATTTTTCTGGTGACTCTTCGCCAGTATCAAATCTTTCTTTATTATCTGGCTATCACTACCAAAAGGAATGGTCAGCTTCACTGGAATGTTCTATCATTATTATCATTTATTGAGTGAGAGGGGTCTGAGGGTTGTGTTTCATAATGACAGGCTTTACTGTGTGGACAAAGACGTTTCTCATGATTGGTTGGAGCATAATTTTACAGCATGTCGTTAGGATTTTCTTGGATAACAATGAGGAACCTTTCTTTCAAATTTCGAATCATTTAGTTATGCAACATGTAGCATTTTTCATTTACAAATATTTTTTACTAAAGGCTAATATAAACAACCAGAGTGTGCTGTGTATTGGGGAAGGGTGCATTTTCGAACGGACATAATTCGCTGTAAACAATATATATAGGCGCTAAAGATTTCGTTCTCGATACTACGTCTTACGTCTGCATGGCGACAACCAATTGTATCATGACACGTCTTACGTCTGCATGGTGACAACCAATCGTATCATGACACGTCTTACGTCTGCATGGTGACAACCAATCGTATCATGACACGTCTTACGTCTGCATGGTGACAACCAATCGTATCATGACACGTCTTACGTCTGCATGGTGACAACCAATCGTATCATGACACGTCTTACGTCTGCATGGTGACAACCAATCGTATCATGACACGAGAGTAACTCTCCTTAGAAGCAAAAGTTAATATTTGCTTCATTTAAGTGTTTACAAATCCTATATTTGGTTTCTGAAAACGTTAAAAGTGTCACATGTAGTGACCAGATAAAGAAGATTAACTCGAATCTGTTATTCTACATATAAAACACTAAGCTTTCTGTGTATTATAAAGGATTTGTTACAATACAACATTAACCAATAAAAACAATGCACGGGGATGTCATCAATTTCACCCAGAAACGCAAATATCATGTGTTATCGTATGATGTTTCCAAACGGCTCACATGAATAGTTTTAAGCACCGTATATTATATCCTTGATTTAAATTATTCAATTGTTTACCAACACTATTGTTTAGGTTTACAAATAAGTTATATTTAAAACTTAGGTTTATATTGAAAAGGAAATACTGCACTGAGACACCAAATGTTTAATCAAAAAAAGACATTTAGGGATGATCTTTTAAGATTATAGATAAGTTTGGTGATGATGTTAAACGATACTGTAATCGATTATTTTAGCCCAAAGTTATACAATTGATGGTCTGTACACCATGAGGAACCGAACCCAGTATCTTAGCGTTGTAATTCCGTAAATATACCACTGATCAACCGCGAGACACGTGAAAAAGGAAAGCAAGTTTTTTTACGTCATAAAATAGACAGTATTATTCTATCATTTAAGGTAGATCGTTCCTAAATCCTTCACACGACAACATGATACAGTAATACAAGTTTAAATATGCTACTTCTGGCCTTGTCAGTCTAGAATTATACGAATTCGTCTCAAGAAGTATACCTCAAATATGTTTTAAATATTCAATCGTCTAACATGAAGAATAAAGAACGCTTCTAAAGCTCCTGTAAAATAGTTATTCTCACGACAAATCCCTTAATGTTTCTTTTGCTTTTATAAAAGAGATAGCAAATATAGGTGTAACTATAGTTAATGCAAAATACATACCAAAAAAACAGATGGTGAAGAAAACGAAACATAGTACCATCTCCAGGTAAAGTATACTATCTCTTTTGGTCATTTTAATAGTTTCTTCAACATTATAAATACCACTCAATCCCTGTTTCTGTAAAAGATGATAACCAGGTGGGTATCTTCTTCTGTTCTAGTCTTTCGTATACTTTCTTCACAAAAGCTGGCACCTTATAAATACAAACATTTCTCTGTTTCATTCGCACACTGCAGTAATAATATACATGTAACGTATTTTGAATTCGATATTTTTTACTTTCAGAATATATATATATATATATGAAGTTTGAACTGCCTAAACTTTTGGGAACTAAACAGCTTTAACTAAACTTATCTTCAAAATTTGTAAAATTCTAGAATAATTCCAAAGAGCTGCACCAAACGTCTCTGAAAAGAAACAATCACTTCAGTGTCTAACACGAAACTGGTGGGTGGATGTTTGAGAAGCCGAGGGTGGTGCTGCTACAGAGTCAAGTTTCGATTACCTCCTCCTCTGTAGAAGAACGCCACACTGGTAATTAAAATCTATACTGATTGAAAAAAAAAAAACTTGACTTTATATTCCAAATCACATTTTTTTTCTTGAATAAGTGGGCCTTAATTTTAAGTAAAATACACAATTATTTCCTGTGACCCTTGTACAATTTTGTAACATTTCCCGAAGTTAGCCAAACCAACAAATAAATAAACTTTTCAACTTGATACCTGCTGTTATTTATTTTACGCTTCAAAAAGAAATAAAACACATTTTTTGATAGAAAATTAATGTTAAAAATGTTCCGTAAAAGGTCATTCGATTATATATAAAAATAATAGAAAAATAACTTGGTACTTTATGATGTATTATCATTCTAAGATTTTCAAAATACAATCTACAAAAGATTAATTTGTATAAATACTGATTGAACTTATTAACAAATGACACGAGAAACTGCCAAAATATTAAATGATTTACGTCGATATTTTTTTAATTTTTAAATCAAAAGATTCTTAGTTGTTGTTGTTTTAAACAAAAGTATTTATTAGTAAAACCATTAGAAGAGACGTTTGAACTTGTTTGCCAAAAAAACAACAACAATAAATCAATAAATTTATTTGTTTCGAATATTCTCACAAAACGACACAATTGCTACGTGCTCTGGCCGTCTATAATTTTTAGCTGATATAATACAGAGAAAAAACCTATTAGACGGCACCTACTGTCATCTCTTAGAACTACACCAATTAAAGAATAAAAATTGGGCGTCATTTGCCAAAAAAAACAAATAATAAATCAATAAATTTATTTGTTTCGAATATTCTCAGAAAACAACACAATTGCTACGTGCTCTGGCCGTCTATAATTTTTAGCTGATATAATACAGAGAAAAAACCTATTGGACGGCACCTACTGTCAACTCTTAGAACTACTCCAATTAAAGAATAAGAATGGGGCGTCATTTGCCAAAACAACAAACAATAAATTAATAAATTTATTTGTTTCGAATATTCTCAGAACACGACACAATTGCTACGTGCTCTGGCCGTTTATAATTTTTAGCTGGTATAATACAGAGAAAAAAACCTATTGGACGGCACCTACTGTCAACTCTTAGAACTACTCCAATTAAAGAATAAGAATGGGCCGTCACTCAGTCATGGTCCAAATAGGAAACGCGATTTTGCGACAACGAGACGCGAATCATAAATCCTCGGATCCACAGTTTGACAAGCTAACCACTAACTTCACAAATGATAGAAAACTTACGAACTTCTTAAAGGGTTTACAATAGTACGGTCGAAATACTGTGAATGTAAGTGTTTCTTCAGAGTGCTCTAAACATAAGTAACCCAAGTTATGTGAAGTAGTAGTTCTATGTATATACTGATATGTAATGTAGTGACCAACATAAGTAACCAAGTTACGTGAAGCAGTCATTCTTTGTAAATACTAATATAAATGCAGTGAGCAGAGTAACTAAATCTATTTATGTGAAACAGGCAGTCTGTGTATGTATTTCAATACAAGTAATACAGATACCAACATACCTCATACGAATCACAGTGTGTAAAAATGTTTGTTCTGCTGGATTTTACCTGTGATTTTGATTTCCAATTATACCAATAAAGCTGGGGGTTCTGACTAATACACATTAGATGGCACTGTTAGTTTATATGTGTAATTTGTCGCCCTTCGTGTACTCTAGGTATTTCATTCATTGAATATTTGATATTGTAATACATATGAGTATTAAGGTATAAATTTATTTAATTGATACATGAAACCGTCGGTACTTGGTGGAACTCCATAATTACACAATTGAGAAAAAGAACAAAAACAACTGTATGTTTCACAAAAACGAGCATGGTTTCGCCAGTAAAGGAATCATTAGGTACAGACCATGATGGTGAATAAAATAAGTTTTTGTGAAACGTACTATTGTCTTTTTTTTCTTTTCCTCAATTATATTAATTTATTGCTACACCACCTAATAATTTGTACGTAGATGTTAAATGCTACATACATGTTGTATACAAAGAAAGAAAGCTAACTTCCAGAAACTAAGAATAAGTTATTTTAAAATCATATTCTTAATTTCATACTTCATCTCCTTTACAACTGTAACCCTTTGACGACAACCAGACAATGTAAATGTGAGCACGTAGTCAAGCAACAAGCTTGCAAGAACTGCCGTCGCTAGAGAAGAAACCCAACGCTTGACATTGTAACAGATATGTAGATATATACTTATATACGGTACTGGAGAAATATGACACTCCTTAATGTTATAGTATTTTGGCACTTGTGTATAAAGTTAAAATCATAAATAATATTCAACGTTAAACTGGTACACAATTAAAAATATTTTATATAGG